CCTCCATGTCTCCAGTGTCTTTTTCCCCACTTGGAGCCGAACCCAGAAGGACATTTCCTTCATCCTGAGGAACCGGATTCTTTTCTTTGTTTTCTCAATCCATCCCATAAATCAAAGGAAGCAATAAAAAGTTGTCTTCTTGAACAAAGAAGCAAGTGTTAAAGCAGCCATACGTGCACCGAGTGATTCTTGCTTCACCTCTTCTTGAAGCTCAAAGCATGGTAGATGAACAAAATGTGCACATTATTTAGTTCTTTCTTTACCTATTTAGTTAGAAGTGTAGTTTTAGATGTTGAAACAAAGGTGGGTATTCAGCCGTTCTCTCCGGTTTGGGCAAACTCGTAGTGGTGGCTGAGGAGGCTCCGCACACCCGCCCCGACGTAATACGTGAGCTGTGATGGGTTTCAATTTTGTTTACTACTGGTTCGCTTGCATGCACGCGCAATGCTTCTGTGCATGCAAAGTGTCTGGGCAGGTGGGCGGAGCCTCCCGCCGCAGCCATACCGGTTCACCTGATCTGGACCAAACCAGGAGCAACCCACTACTGGCGTGAGCACTGCACATGTGGAGACGCGGCGTATGCGCCAGGGGTGGGTTTCAACCGGTTCGCGGCGGTCCCTGCGAACTGGTTGGTCGGCGAACCCGGAAGTAAGTAACTTCCAGGAACGGCGAAGGGCCCACTCACGCGCCCGCACTCCTTACCCGGTTTTGACGAGTTCTGCGCTTCCACACATGCGCAGGATGCATACAGTGCCTGCGTGATCCTCCAGGAGCAGCTGGAGCATCGCACAGATGCTAGTACGCATGCGTGCACCGCACGCATGCACGCACACGCCACACTCGTGCACGAGGACGTTGCCGGCCCCGTTCCAACTGAAACGGTTGGAACGGGGCGAGAAACCCACCCCTGGTATGCGCCCACATGTGCGAACTGCTAGGGAAAATAAGTGAATCCCACTGCTGTGGGATAAGGCCGTCCAAATTATTTCCAATGAGCAATAATGTTTCGGGTTGCATCAACATCACAACAGGTTGGTTTTTGGGGGGTGCAAGGTGAACTTGGAAAGTTACATAATGTGCTGACACACATCACTTACAGTGCCCTTTGGAAGAGAAAATTATCCACGGATATAATTATTGTTCTGTTTCATCAAGTCTCAGAAGACAAACTTTTTCACCTCCCTTAAGGCAACAATTCCAAAATTGCCAGCCCAAAAATACCTCTAGAACCAATTCCATAAATTGCCAGAATCTCATCATGTCTTCAGCCCCATTCTAGAAGAGGGCCTTGGTAGATACCACACTCAATGTTCTTTCAGTTACTGCCAGTCAACTGAAGGGAACATTCCGCATTTCGTTAATGTCTTAGTCAAGAGAAGGAAATGTGTGCACAACTTCATGTACCTGTAGGAACATTTAAGTGATTGGAGCATTGTTATCATCATGTCTCCCCTGGTCCTTCTCTTCCCTAGACTAGCCATGCCAGGTACTTACAACCGTTCTTCACATGTTTTAGCCTCCAGTCCTCTAATGCTCTTGGTTGCTCTTCTTGAACAACTTAGAGCAGTGTTTCTCAACCTTGGCAACTTGAAGATGTCCGGACTTCAACTCCCAGAATTCCCCAGCCAGCGGACGCTGGCTGGAGAATTCTGGGAGTTGAAGTCCAGACGGCAACTTGAAGATGTCCAGACTTCAACTCCTAGAATTCCCCAGCCAGCGGACGCTGGCTGGAGAATTCTGGGAGTTGAAGTCCAGACGGCAACTTGAAGATGTCCAGACTTCAACTCCTAGAATTCCCCAGCCAGCGGACGCTGGCTGGAGAATTCTGGGAGTTGAAGTCCAGACGGCAACTTGAAGATGTCCAGACTTCAACTCCTAGAATTCCC